TCCCGCGCTGCCCCTCGCTCTCGGGCGGAGCGCTCCGCTCGTTTCCTCCCGCACAAAACTCCTTTGCTGCCCGATTCCTCCTTCCTGCCCTCTGGAGGCAAACTCTGCCTGCCAGGGCATGGAGCAGCGCTGGAGCAGCCTGAGCTCCGTGCTAGGACAGGGCACAGCATCCCCCAGGACACGGGGAGCTGCTCTTGCTGGGTGATGCTTGAATCCCTACAATGGTTTGGGTTGGAAGGGACTTTGAAGACCATCTTATTCCTCCCCTGCTCCAAGCCCTCTCCAACCTGGCCTTGGCCCTTCAAGGGATGGGGCAGCCACAGCTTCCCTGAGCAACCCGTCCCAGGGCCTCACCACCCTCACAGGGAAGAATTTCTTCCCAATATCCCATCTCACCCTGCCCTCTGACAGTTTCACCCCATTGCCCCTTGCCCTGTCACTCCATGCCCTGAACAAAACCTCCCTCTCCAGCTATTTTGGAGCCCCTTTAGGCACTGGAAGAGGCTCTCTGGTCTCTTGCCTTCTCCTTTCTGGGTTGCCGTGCTGGTGGTCAGAGGGCAGCTTTTGGCAGGATGCTGCCAGTGACCGTGTGGCACAGCTCGGCCCCACCGGAGCTGCCCGCCGCGATCCGTGGCTGTGCAGAAATGGCATCAGGTGTCCCCGGCCCGGCTGCTGCCTGCCAGATGTGCTGTAATCAGTGCGGGGAGGCGATCGAGCCCTCAGCGCTCCCTCAGCGAGGGTTTCAGCCTCCCGGTGGAGGGAGGGAGGAGAGGGAAGGACAGGGATGTCAGCAGGGGCACTCCTGATCAAAGCTGTCTGCCGGCATAGAGGGGCGAGGGGAGGGGAGGAGGGCGCGATCTGCTTCTGACCCAGCCGGGAAAATGAGGGTGAGGAGCGCTGACAAAGAACGCGGTTGTGCCTCCAAAAGCAGGGAGGGGACAAAAGCTTCAGTGGGCTCCTGGCGGTCCTGCCCTGCTGCAGCCCCGTGTCATCTTCCTCCCGAGCCAGCTCCTGCCCCGCAGATAAGAAAAATTGTGGAGGGGCACGGAGGTGGGGGAGAGGCCGTGCCTAAGCACGAAAAGGGGATGGCTGGCTCCAGCTGAGCGAGTTTCAGCAGTTTCAGCTCAGTTTCAGCGTTTGATCTTCTCCAGCCCCTGTGCAAAGCCGTGTTCGAGAGGAGCCCTGGCAGGCAGGAGGAGGCAGCACGGATGATTTGCAGAGGATGATCTGCCTGTGAGGCTCTGCTGGAGCCAGACAGGGCAAATCCAGGTGGCCTCCAATGCTCTCCCCTCCAGGGCCCCTCCGTGCCCCTCTCTCCTGACCCTCCTTGCTAGTCCTGCTTTCATCTCCTTTCATCACTCCCGAGCCTCCTGTGCTCACAGGGCTGATACAAGTGCAGGGTGGAAGGCAGAAGGATGGTGTTTAAAATGCTGCTCTTGCCGTTTCACATCCTGGGTTCAGGCAGTGTGGTTGTTTCCTCGAGGTGCAGAGGAGGTTTTGAGTACTCTCAGCCAGTGTGGGAACAAGGATATGGGAGATAAAGTAGTCTTGAGACACCCCCAACATTAATCTGTGTCTGGGAAGGTTTGGTAATTCAACTGATTAAATACATCTTAAATCTTGTTGACAAAGCCACCACAACTTACTCTCACCCTCCTACTAATTTCCTATCCAATTCTCTCAATAAAGTTTTTTTTTTTCCTGCTGTCTTTATTCAGACCATAAAGTAAAGCTGCCACTTTGCAATTGGGCCAGCTGGTTCTGCTGTGGGATAAGTTGTGTGTGAGCAGGCTGAGCCTGGCCTGTGCAGCAGCCTCTGTGGCCTTGCATGCACAGAGGGGCTTGCATCACAAGGGGCTTTCCCCTTGTTGCTTTCCAGTTTCACATGTCCTGCTAACAGAGAGCAGGTCTGAACTGCCACCAGGCAGTGTTTAAAGATTCAGGAGTTTGAGGATCTCCCCTGTGCTATCACCCATGGTTTCACCCCAGCTGTCTCTCTATAAGTTTTCCATCATAGGATGCCAATCCTGTTTGGGACCAATTCACACTCATCCCCTGGCCTCTGGAAGTCTCCTGGGATTATTTCAGCCTCTTGTTTCATTGGATTTGGTTCCATCAGCCAACAGTTTCCCAAAAAGTCTCCCAAACACAATCAAGAGGGGAACCACAGGCCTCTGGAATGGAGGAGCTGTGCTTGTGGCTGCTGCTGCATCAGGTCCTGATGCATTCTGCTCCCAACTCACCTGTCACAGGTAAGCAGCTGCCTTCTCATGGGGAAAGTCTTGGGATAATAATTATAGAGGTTGAGAGTTAAGAAAGATGCATGTGGGACTGACCCTGTGTGTGCTCCTGCTGCTGCCCAGCCTGCTGCAGGGAGCCTGCTGCTTGCCCCAGAGCAGGAGTAATTGGACTTTTCTCCCTCTGTGAGGAGGAGCCTGTGTGATCCAGGCACTCTGCAGACACAAGCTGTGCCCAGGACTGTGGCTGATCCTTGTTTCTACTGCTCTGGGCAGCCCTGAGAATTCAGCTCTGTTAACACAGAGATCAGGGGCTTCCTTCAGCTCAAGGTGTCATTGTCTGGCCAGGTCTGCTGCCCTGTGGACATTGCCATGTCCTGGATTTTGTTTCCCAGGGGATGGAGCAGACCTCAGAGGACTGTGAGCTGTGTGAGCTGTTTCCATCCCTTGTGCTCGGCTGTCCTGGTGCCTCTGCACTGGCTCTTGAGTGCCCTCAGGAGGGATGTGCAGAGCCTCTCCTCAGCCTCAGCACCACTGCACAGTCCAGCTACAGCAGGGAGAGGCCAGGGGGATGCCTGCCATGGCTTAGCCCCCTCCCTCTGTGGGGAACACACTTTTAAGCTGCATTCTTTGAGCCTTTTCATGGACCCACTGTCCCACAGGCTGAGGCCAAGCTCCTTTGTGTGATTCATTGTCCAGCTGCTTCCCCTGCAGAGGCTGAGGTGGGAAATAAAAACAGCTTCCAGCTCCCAATATCTGCAAATCTCAATTACAATGGAGGTTTTGTGGGCCAGAAAGTGGCTCCCGAGGGAGCAGCCCTGGGGAAGGTTGAGCTGCAGACGAGCTCACAGGAGAGATGTGGCTGAACTGGGTTCACTCCTCCTCCTCCTCTTTGTGCCCTGCCTTCTTCCACTCCAGCCCCTGCTGGTGCAGAAAGGTGAGAAGGGATGTGGCAGGAATGTCCCTGTCCCTGACCACTTGGGCCACTTGGCTTTAAACGCTGAGGGTGACAAAGCTGCATCAGCTCCAGGACAGCAGCACGTTCACAGGGATAATCAGCACTGATTTTTTGGTGGAGCAGACCAGGCAGGCCTTCCAGGGGTGGTTTTACCCCTGAGTTGTGTCCTCTGTAATTTTCAAGGTGATTTTTAGGATTGTTGAACATCCTTTCCTGCAGAGATTGGGACTCAAAAAACCCCACCAGTGCACCTTTCTGCCTCTGAGTTTGTTCAGCTGCTCTCTTTGGATTCCGTTTTGGATTCATTTGCAAGACTTAAAAAAGCAGCCTGGTTTTTGCATCAAAAACCAGCATCACTGTACCTGGGGACACTAGATTTTCATGTAAATCTGTGGTGTAAGACCAAATCTTCTCTTCTGGCATCAAACAGGAGATGGGTGATGTTTACTTCTGGCAATCAATCACATGGACATCCATGTGAAGGCAGGTGCCATTGTTATGGCTATTGTTGTCAGGAACTGAAGAAAATCCAAACTAACAGGGTAAATCCTTTCTTTTCCAAAGCTCTCTCTGTTTAGGCTAGAGCTGGGCAAAATAATTTATCACAAAAGTAAAAGTTTGAGCGTGCTGAAGTGGCGGAATATCAAGTGGAACCAATCTGTTGAAATGAGAAATATTTGCTTTTCCTATTTCTGAAACATTTCAGTTGTCAGTGGATTTCAGCTTCATTTATTATCATTACATATTATGCAAACCCCAGTGTACTTCAGCCAGGGTTGAATCCAGCAGCTCTTTGGGGGTTTGTTTTTAATTTTGCCTCAGTTGAAAAAGCTGCAAATATTTGCCCCAAACAACTGAGAAAAACGGTTTTTAGAGTTTTTTCCAGGAAAAGCAAATATTCACTTTGTTTGCACAGCTACAGCCCTGACCTAAAGAAAACTTTGCCTAATATGATGATCTCTTTAGCTTAATGAAAATAGCTGAGAAAAAAGAATGGAATACAGTCAGACTCCAGTCTCACTTTGCTGGCTTCTTTCACAATCTCACCATTTATTTTTAAATAGAAATCCTGTTCCAGAAGCAAGCAGATATTTGTCTTTAGAAGGCCATAAAAATATCTCTGTATTGGAAGAACTCAGGTGGGTGACACTTTCAGCCTTTGCATACCTGGGCTATGCATTGCAAACACAGTATGCAAAATGGAGAGAGAGAACATTAAAATACAGATTTCCACCAAAATACTGGCATAGCATGATTAATGCTCTGCTGGTCCTTACATCCACACCCTGCAGAGCAGGATACAGTGATTTCTCTCACCCAAGTAGTGTACAGCAATAGAAAAGAGGGAGAGGAGGAAGCAATCTGCATCTTGTATCAAACCATGGGCTCCAGCAGGTGGTTCTCACATTTAGCCCAGTGTTTATAACAGTTAAAAAAACCCTTGTGGTATCTTGTCTTCATGTCCCAAACCAACCAAAAAGTCTGTTCTTTGAACAAATAACCCTCCCTCTTCCTTCACTTTGTCCCCTCCTCCAAGTTAAGGGCCACTAAGGTCCTGGGACAGGTCAAGGCACACGGCAGGGGGGAAGAAGAGACAGGCTGTGGTTTTTGGGGTGCAGGGCTGCACCTCCCCGAGCCCTTGGTGGGGCAGATGAGCAAGGCACTGTTGGCAGGAGACGCATCCCACACCAGGGTCCAGCTGCTGTGAGAAGCACCCTGATGTGCAGCTGCTAAAGAACACTGTGGTGCTGTGATTTGTTCTTGTTTGGACAGAGCCTGGCTCTGCAAGGCCACATCTGCTGCAGCTGCTCCTTCTGCACAGGCACGTGGGGCTGGTCCCTGGGGCTGCCCTTGGTTTATCAAAAATGCTGTGACCTGCACCTGCCCCTCCAGGTGCTCCTGAGTTGGCTGCCCTGCCCCACAGCACTGCAAAAACACAGTGCTTCCAGGACTTGGATTTCTCTTCCTAGGATGCAGAAGAGGAGGCACAGAAAATTTGTCAAGGAATTTTAGTGTTAATGGCAGAGATTTGGTCTTTACCAGCTAACCCAGCTCTGCTCCTACTTGCTTTGGGAGGTGCCAGAGCTCCATCTGCCTGGCAGGGAGGCAAATGTACCCTTGGAGGGCAAGGACCTAGTGTGCTACCCTACATGGTTTGAAATACCAATGTTAACATCTGCATTCATCAATAGAAGTCACCTGGGGAGAGGCTGGGACAGGCTGCCAGCCCTGCACACAGACCAGAGATCCAGGTGAAGAACAATCTGTTTTGTGGGACCAAAGCACCAGCCTGAGGAGAGATTCACAGCCTCTGTGTGGCAAAGGGATTGAGGGGACTTGTTTTAGAGAGACAAGCATTAAATTACATTGTATTATTCACTTTTTCACCTGTGCAATCCCTTGAGGCTTCACACTATCACAGTGGCAGCAACTGTTTCACTGCTCTCTGGTTCTGGAGCTTGTTCTCTGGCACGTGGGATGCCCTCCTGGGATCCCTGCCATTAGGGTAGTGTTCAAGTGCTGACAACTGGAATTTCTGGTAATTGATGTTTAGGGGATCTCTGAATTGCAGGTTTGTCTGAGGATCTGGGCTTTGCCTGGTGTCAGTCAGGCTGTGCCAGTGGGACACTACTGGAGCTGACAGGTAACACCCCTGACTGGCAAACTGCATTTCTTTTTCAAGCATGCCTTCAAAATGTTGGGCCTTGAGGAATTTGACCTTTCTGTGTTCCAGCAGCTCCCTGGATAAAATATGTTGTGAGACTGATATGCACAACTTAAGCAAGCTGAGGGGCAGGGAGAGATGAAAGAGCTGCTGAATCCCAGCATCTTTCTGTCGTACTAATTGTGAACACTATTTGTCTCTTTCTTGATAGAAAGGCTACCTGCCAGGTCCTGTTTTCCCTCCTGCGTCCCCATACACTGATGTTCCTGCCAGGTCCTGTTTTCCCTCCTGCATCCCCATACATCGATGTTCCTGCCAGGTCCTGTTTTCCCTCCTGCCTCCCCACATGTTAGTGTTCTCCTGTGGAACTCTAAAACACCCCCTGTTCCCATCTCCCAGAAAGAAGTGTGTGTATCACCTCCAGGACTCAGCTGCCCAAATATCCTGGATCAACTTGTTCCTGTCAAACTGTTCCCAGGAACCTACAAGAAACAAACTGAAGAGACGAAACACCGGTGGTGCCTCTGCCTGTACCAGAGCCAGCCAGGAGCATGTTCCCAACCCTCCTCGGGGCTCTGGCCTCTTTTGTCCCTAGGCTTTGGCAGAGCAGCCCCGCTCCTCGATGGTCGGCACGGGGTGAATGGGCAGGACCAGGTGGGAGATGCGGCTCCACAGCCCGCTCAGCTTGTCCGAGTCCATGCGGTCGTAGGAGCCGGGGCTCCTGGCGCCGGTGAACTTGGCCCAGAGGAAGTCACGGACCCTCTCCTCCACCTGCTGGAGGCTGATGTGGCTCTCCAGCACGTCCTCCTCCAGCAGCACCGTCAGCAGCAGGGCCACGTCCTTGAAGGCGGCGCTCTCGTGGTCGCAGTACTTGTAGAAGATGAGGGTGGCGCCGGCGGGCAGCAGCTCGAAGCGGTGAACCACGGCGGCCCGGCCGCCCGCCTGGAACGCCTGGCTCAGCTCCGAGTCCACCTGCAGCTTGGCCAGGTCGCTGTGGAGCGCGGCCTTGCCGCCGCCCTCGACGTGCACCGTGCTGCCGTGCACGGCGGCCGCGTAGCAGTCGGCCAGGCGGGCGCTGAGGCAGCGCAAGGTGCGCTCGGCGCGGCGCGCCTCGGCTCGCTTCGGCCGAACTCGGAGCGGCTCTGTGCGCTCGGCGCGGCGCGCCTCGGCTCGCTTCGGCCGAACTCGGAGCGGCTCTGTGCGCTCGGCGCGGCGCGCCTCGGCTCGCTTCGGCCGAACTCGGAGCGGCTCTGTGCGCTCGGCGCGGCGCGCTGCCGTGAGGATGATGATGGCCGGCTGCGAGGGCTGCGACGCGTTCAGGTGCTTGCGCAGGAACTTGCGCCCCCGCAGCCACAGCTCGGGGCTCTGGCCCGGGAAGCTGAGCTGCAGCAGGTCGAACTGGGACTGGAAGGCCTCCAGCGTGGGGTTCCTGCGGGGCTGCTGGGAGCTGGAGGTGGGGCTGCCGAAGCAGAATATGCAGAAGCCCAGCACTATGAGGCCCAGGATGAAAAGCCCTGTGCAGCAGGGAGAGACACAACACGGGGAACAGCAGTCAGTCCCAAGTGACCCGCAGTGACATGCTGGAAAGTGGCTACAATGGCTAGTTCTCCCCTCTCAGAGCTGCCCCCTGCACTAGGAAAGTGGAGCAAGTTGGTCAGGAAAGGTGAAAAGGGCTGCAGGTCCCACTCCAATATGCCACGTGAGGAGGCTGCAGCTCCAGGGATGAGGGCAAGGATTGTGCAAACCTTCCTGAGGAAATTGCAGCTGCCCACAAGCTTTCCTCTTTTCCCCTTTCTCTGTTTTTTTTTTAGGTTTTTTTTTCTCTGTTTTTTTTTTTTTTTAGGTTCAGAGCACCACATATGGAGGTGTCTGACCCAGGTAAAGTGCTGCTTTCACTGCCCTCCTCTGTGCTGTGAGTGAACAAAGGCCACCCTGCTTCTGCTCAGAAAACAGACACAATGCCTTGTGTCCCTCTCCAGGCAAAGCAGAGTCTCCTTCTAACAGGAGAAATGTGTTGATTCAGATCAGCATCATTGCTCCTGCTTAGAGCCCCAGGGCTGGGGAGAGGGACCCTCAGCACAGCAGCCCCCCAGACCTCCCAGGGCATCCCAGGGCACTCACAGCATGATGACCACAATATGCCAGCTTTTGAGGCTGAAGAGCTGCAGGGGAAGCTGCCACTATAGGCATGAACTGAGCCTGTATTTAAGGGGATGTTTTTTCTTTCAAACCCTCAGAAGAGGCTGTGAAAGGTCTCGAGAGAGAAGAGTAATTAAATGTGCTTTATTACTTGCTCCTGGAGGATCAGTGCCTTCTGGTCGATGAGTAACATGCAAGGGAAGCTTCTTTTCCTCACCTTTCCACAGGAGGGACTTTTTGGCCTTCTCCTGCTCTGTGTTTTGGGTGGTGATGTTCTGCAGGGAGGACAGAGTCTCTGGTTTTGGGGCTGTGTCCCCTGCAACAGGAGAAAAGAAATGTGCCACTCAGTGCTGAGGGAAGAGGTAAATGGAGCTGTAGTAAGCAAAGCAGGAGGAAACACTGCTTTGGGTTAATACTGCCCTGAGTCTTGGCTCTCTCCTCTGGGGCTGGGCAAGGAGAAAAACAATGCAGAGTGCAGTGTGGCTTCATGCCTTTCACAGCACAACAGGAACCAAAGGCAAGAGAAAGAGAGAAGCCAAATAATTTCTTATACCTTACAACTCCAGGGAAGTGACAATGGCTATGAGAGATCTCATCCCATTGCTCTAGTGCCAGTGGGAAATGTAGGAAGTGGAAGAGCAGCAGTGTGCAGCCCCCAGCTCACCTTTTGGTCTTTTCCTTAATGTGCCTTGGGACTCGCTCTCCTGTGTTTCTTGCCCTCTGGGTGCCTCTGGCTCCCAGTCTGGGACAGTGGCACTGCTGCTCTTCTCTGCCAAGTGGCCCCTGGGGACATCTTCCACACCAGTCACATCCAGATGTGTCACTTCACTGCCAGAGCTCCGTGCCTTGCTTGTAGATGAGGCATCTTCCTCTGCTGTGCAGAGACTTTCACACTGCCCAGTTGTCTCCTGGTGCTCCTGTGGTTCCTGGTGGACAGGGCTGTCTCCTTTGCTTTCCACACTCTCATGGCCCAGCCCAGCTGTGGGGAATAAAATTCACAGACCTACACTTCGTCTCTTTTAGCCCAAGAACCAGGAACCCTTTCTCCTGCTCTGCCTCCTCTAAGGCAAGGCCCAGGTTATCAAGCCCAAGGGTGGGGAGAGACTCACCTTCATCCAAGTCTTGTTTTTCCAGGGGTCTTTCTGAGACACCTTCTCTTGTCTTGTCAGACTCTTCTGGCTCAATTTCTTGGGCAGGTTTCTCCTCTAGTGTGGGACCAGCTGAACCCAGGAGTGTTGTCTCTGCCCCACCAGCAGCTGATTCACACACTGCAGACTCCTCCTCTGGTTTGCAGGATGTCTCAGGCAACCTGCCTGTCCCTTGGTGCCCAGGTGTTTCCTGGGTGTGCTTTTGGTGCTCAGGATGCTCTGCTGTGCTCCCCACCTCAGCCTGGGCTGGTCCAGCTGTTGGGATCAGAGTTCACAAGCCCAGTGAGCCACTCAGGAGTCAAGAATGCTCAGTGCTTTACCACCACCCACACAACTCCCAGTTCTGGCTCTGCAGAAACGTTTACCCCCAGTGAGATGGGAGAGAACAGAGTGACCAGAGGTGAGAAAACTCTTGGGTTGAGTGAAGGGAAGGAGGGAATCAGAATGCATCACTCACCACCTCCTGCAAGCAGACTGATGCCAGGCCAGTCTCCCAGCAATGCCCACCTTGGAAGCCATCCCCTTTCTCCCTTTCTGTCTTTGTCCCATTTTTTTGTTGCTAAGCATGATGCTGTATTGTGTTCAACAACCCCTTTCCCACCTTGGGTCCCTGCTCAACCTTCTCCCCACCCCAGGGTATTTGCTGGGCAGGGACAGAAAGCCCTGATGCTGTGTTCATCAAAAGCCAAAACACTGCTCTGTTTTCAACATTTTTTTCTCTAAGCCCACAAATCCAAGCCACAGACCTTACAGCTGCCATGCTAAAGCTAACTCAATCCCAGCTTGTGTCCTAGGTGGGATGGGCAGGCAATTCCTTCCTTCAGTGGTAAAATATGTTACCACATCTTCCACAGACAGTGGATTTTCACAGATAGTGATGGATTTGAAGAATTCCTAAGGCTGTTGTTGAGTACAGTTATGCCAATGCACTTCAAGCATCTGTCTGAATGTAAATGATAATTCTGCTCATGTTGTGTCTCTGTTTTTCTGTGCTGGAGCTGCTCTCCCAAAGAGCTATGGCAACATTTAATTAGAAACAAACACTGGAGCATAATTCAATAGAGAGACCCTGCAACTGAACAGCATCTGTGACATATTCTGACTCTCACAAAACCAAAGTGCAGCTCAAATTTCAGGCACTATTTGTGAAAAATTGCTTATGAATGATCAAGCACTACATAAATGATTAGGCTATAATTAGAATAAACACTGATTAAAAGGGCAAGGAACTCCCTTCTAATTTGAAAACAGAGAAAAAGCTGCACTTGTCACTTGTCAGAACATGATTTTTACATTCTTTGTTGCTGATTATTACAGTGACACTTCTGACTATCTAGGACAGACCTGAGCTGGGGATGGCATCGCTTTATCACTGACACACTCATAGGTACTAGTCATAACAAGGCTCCCACAGAATGTAAGTACACTGCAGAAAATGAAACATGAGGAACTTGGAGATATCCTGCTGTTCAAGCTGGGCACAAACTACTCCCTGCCCTGCCTCTTCCACAGTTTTTCCAACCAGAGGTGGTGGAAAACTGGTTTATTATTTAAGCATTTGTAGATGGGAAGCACCAGGTTGTAGGGAAGAAAGCTCTTCCAGTCTGGATCTATCTTTTCAGCATTCCTTGTGCTGCCATCTTGGGACACAGAGTCTAAACCTGTCACAGATCAGAATCTAAAACTGAAAGTAACTTGTTCATCTTTCACCCTTTAAAAAATGATGGAAACTTGCTTTCCTTGGCCTGGAAAAGATGGGATTCTTTTACTGGTTTGTTTTTCTTCTGCACAGGTTTCTCATGTCACTGGCAGCAAAGGGATTTTCCTAGATGGAGCAAGCAAAGGATTCACTTACCTCCAAGCAGATGCACTCTCTGATTCTCTTCCATTTTCCTTTTCCCCCGGAGCTCTGCCTTCTGCACGGTTTGGTTTCACTTTCTCGGACGTTCATAGGGAGCTGTGTGTCCCTGCTGTTCCGGAGGCTGACCGAGTCCTGCCCTCCTCACAGCCACCATCCCGTCCTGCTCCGGCCAATTCCAGCTACACGCCCACAAACCTGATAAGCAGAAACACCGTGAATCACGGTGGGGGAGGCTCCTCCTCCATGATTCCCAAGGTGAACATGGGAGGATATGAACCTTCAGCCCGTGGGCTGTCAGCTATTTTGCTTCCCGTCCGAGCAGGGGTTAATGCAAACCGCATTTATCGTGGGACACGCCAGGGGGGTGAGGCACTGCTGTCTCATCCCACGGACGCCAGGCCGGAGTGTGGGGCTCGGCAGGCTGCCCCGGCAGCTTCTGGTGCTGGTAGCTCGCAGCCAGGCCGGCACGGAGCGATGCCCCTGCTCCTGCTGTCGTTCCCCCTGCCTGCTTCCAGCGTGTGGGATCGGGAGGCGATGCGGCAGAACCACCCCGCGGACCCGGAGCCGCAGCCTGAGCGAGCCCCGCACGCCTCCAGCCAAGATTCCCCCAGCTAAAGCCCTTTGGGACGGGGCACTGACGGAGCCGGGCTCGCCGGTGTCACCCAGGCTTTCTTGGAAAACTCCCAAGAAACTTTCCTCGCTGGAGAGCGGTCCGTGCGGTTTTCCGCGCAGGAATCTCCAGCCCAGCCTCCGAAAGCAGCAGCTTTTCGGCACCGGGGGACCCCTCGGCCCCAGCAGTGTCCCCACACACGGTTCGGGGCTGGGGGTGCAGTCGCTGCCCCGCCGCCCGTCCCTCCCTTCCCTGTTCCCGATGCTGACGCTCCGGTAGGAGAAGGAAATGAGCAGAACAAAGTGGGGCCGCTTACCCAGGCAGGTTCGGAGCCGGTCAGGGCGGCGATCAACAGGAAGAGGCCAGCGCTGGCCTTTCCCCTTGCCCTCCGTCCAGAGGCCCTTTGGTGGCAGGGCACCAGCGCACACCCTGAATGCTCCGCTGGAAACGTGACGGTGAACCCTGCCCTTCCCTGGCTCCCGGCTGCCTGCTGGGAGCTGTAGTTTTCCTTCCCGCAGTCATTCTCGGGAGCCTTCAGGAAACATTAACTTCCTTTTTTCGGCCGTGTTTCCGCGACTCTGTGGCTCTGCGCTTTTTTTCCGGCGCTCTGCATGACTGGCGGGTTCCTGCGTTCAGTAACAGTGTTGCTGATTTGAAGCAAGGAAATGATAGTGAAAGGAGGGAACTGGTTTGAGAGTTGATTTAGGAAAAGTACTACAAGAAAGGTAACCCAAACACATAGGTAGCAAAGCCCAGACTGGAAATGTCACATTTCCAGTGCAGGGAGGCTGGGGAGGATGTGACATGGAGGATCTTCAGCATCAGCCTGGGGGGAAAGGGATGCGGAGCCCACCCAGCGTCCCCAGAAGTGGGGAGAGGCTGCAAAGCAGGGAAAGGTCTGAGAATGTGTGAGTCAGCCCTTGGCTTCACTTAGGCAATGCTTTTCCCAAAAAAATCCTGTTCTAACTCGTGGTGCCTGCACGGGAGCATGTATAGGCATGGGAATGTTCCAACTCCTTCCCTATTCCTGCCCAGGACATGTTTCATGGAAAGCAGCAGCATGAAGCACTCCAGGGGAAAGGCAGCAGCACAGGGAGCAGCAGAACAGAGACAGCAATGCCCCTGGAACTCAGCTTGCTGCCTTTTCACAGCATCCCCAGAGGAGCCCAGCAGCAAATGGCTGAGACAAAACACAGGGAAAGGCAAATGAGGCAGTGCTGGAAAGGAGGGGGCACTGAGTGGCTGGGACTCCTCAGTCTGGGGAACAGAGGGCTGACAGGGTGGATGGGACTAACGTGTTTGATTTGTTAAAAAACTTCAATTTTACTGAATTTCCCTGCCACACTAGTATTGGAGGCACTTGTAAAACAGGTAAGAGGTTGGGTTCAAATGGGAAGGAAAAAATACTTATATATATACATATTATATATTCGTAATATCTATATTTATATACAGTAATTGTTCCTGTATGGAGGAACACTTGCTGGCCCAGGGAGCACAGAGGCAGTGTCAGAGGGGTCACTAAAGTGTGTGTGCCATGTTACCCCTGGGGTGTCAGCATGTGCACAGGCATCAACACTGACACTGCTCATGTCAGGAAGGTGGTGAGAAGGAGAGGTGTGCTGGCCACTACACCTCATTTCTGACAGTGGCTTCCTCTGTCACCCAAAGAGCCTGGGAGGGGACAGTGGCCATGGCAGACTCAGCACATTCCCTTGTCACAACCAACCTCTCACCAGGTGCAGCAGAGGCTGTAAAACCAGAATGGAAAAGCAGGAAGGAAAAAGTCAGCATGGCTGATTCACAGGGGCCAAGGTCACCTTGAGGGCCCTGCTCCTGGCTGCCATCAGTCTCACACCACAACTTGATCTCCCTCAGTAAGGAACAGCCAAGGAACAGCAGGGAGGAGCTGCAGGTGGCTTAATGGAAATCCAGGTATATTCTATCCCTCTGTCCCTGAAGCCATCCAGTCCCTTCAACACAGTGTTTGGGGCTGAGGGGCTGCCCTTTCCAAGGAAGCACAAGTGTCACGAAACTGGTGGCAAGTGTGTGACAAAATCAGGGGGTCATTTCAGCCTCTCCAGGTTGAGAATCTGGTTCCCAAAAAGTCATTTGGCAGGAAAATTAGCTGGCTGGCCTAGGGCATGACATAATCACAAAACAGTTACAAAAAAGGAAAAAGGATCTTGCCATTGTTGTGTTGATTTTCTTTTCCTGATATGGTATTTGTTACACCTTCTTTCACTTTTGCTTTAGAAAACAATGCTCAATGTGTGTGTTCTGCTTTTAGGACTGAAAAGAATGACAATATTTAATGCTGGTACAGTAGGAAATATGTATAACTTATTTCACAAATATTCACTTGCTTTTGGGTGCAACTGCAACATTTATGGTGTGCTAGTAAAGAATTTAGGGTATTTTTTGTTTTGAAATCTTTGTACAGAGAAGACACAGGAGTGGAGGCTGAATGGCACTTCCCTCACCCAGCCTTCCTGCTGGATTGCACAAAGTGCCAGGCTCTCCTCAGGGATCGGACAAGGAGCAGTGGCCATAAACTAAACCACAAGAAGTTCCACCTCAACGGAAGGAAGAATTTCTTCACTGGGAAAGGCTACCCAGGGAGGGCATGGGGTCTCTCTCTCTGGAGACATTCCAAACCCGCCTGGATGTGTTCCTGTCACCTGCTCCAGGTGACCCTGCCTTGGCTGGGGGGTTGGACTGGGTGATCTCCAGAGGTCCCTTCCAAGCAGAACAATTTTGATTCTGTGAATTTGTAAAAGGGTCTCTATTTGCTTAGCAACTCATTTCCAAGCTGGTCTTGAGTTGCTAGGGAGGGAGTGTAGAGGAGACCTTGTAGTCCCATCAAACTGCATCTTGAAAACTTCCAGTCACGGGAACTGTACCACATTTTTACGACAGTTTTATCACATGCCTGGGTAAAAAAGCTTTATCAAGAATGCAATCAAACGCATTTTAAAAGTCCTGTTGCCAGTAATTAATCGGAACAAACAGGTAAGAAAAGTGAAATGCCTAGTGAGATATTCCAGATCTGATTCACCAAAATGACTCCCACACTAATGAACAGAGTGGTGCAACGTTATCAGTGCCACAGGATCTCATGTCCCTCGAAGCACCTCAAGTTTCCCCTCTCTGCTACTCAGCTATTTGTGCTTATTTTACAGACTTTTCTGCCTCCGAGAAATGCAAACCCGGCTTTGTCGCGACCGGTTCGCACACAGAAAATACCGCGGA